TTAACCCTTTTTGTGTGTACAACTGAGTAGCATTAAGTAGATTCACGTGTACAGCAATTACCACCCTCCATATCCGGAACTTTTTTCGTCTTGAAAAACCGAAATTCTGTACTCGTTAAACAACAGCTCCCCTCCCCCCAGCCCCTGGCCGTGCCACCATTCTACTTTCTGTCTCTACGAGCCTGATTTTTCTAGGTGCTTCACATAAGTGGGCTCATACAGTAGTTGTCCTTTTGTGTCTGGCTTATTTCGCTTAGCACATGTCCTCATGGTTCATCCATGTTGTAGCATGTGTCAGAACTTCCTTCCTTTTTAAGGCTAAATAATATTCCTTTGTATGGGCAGACTACATTTTGTTTTCCCACTCATCCATCAATGGACATTTGGGTCATTTCCGCTTTTTGGCTATTGTGAATAATGCTGTTACGGACATAAATGTACAAATAGAAGCCCCATTTTAAAAATTATTAGATTCAACAGATACAAAATCACTTTGTCCATTTGCTAAGCCCTTACTTTCATCTTCTTTATCCATCTCCCTAGTCTGCCTTTTCAGTAGCACAGCTGGCCATGTCCCTGGGCTGGTGGACTCTACCTTTCCTGAGACCCCGGTGATCCCCCACAATTCCCTGGGCACATCACACTCATTGGGATGGCCTGTTTGGGACCCAGAGCTCCCTGAGGTTGGACTCAGTTGGAGGCCCCTCTAGGTGCAGCACTGGGCTTGGGGTCAAGCCCAGGCAAGGGGATCAGAGCAAACGCAGCCACATGCCGTGCTTCCACATCTGGAGGACAATGAGGGTGCAGGACTTGAACCCACATCTGTCTGACTCCAGGTCGGTGCTCTTTGCTGTGAGGTTCATGCAGTAACAGCAGCCCTGAGCCGGAGGCTGGATTCAAGGCCTATCCCCCTCTAGCTGTCATGCTCAGCGTTCTTTAGGCTTGAAGGGATTTCCACTCCTTTCCAAAGTCAAGATGGAGTCACTCAGTCAAGAAATACTAACTATTGCCCACCTTGTGTTGTCTCCTGGGCTGCAGGCTGGGATACACAAGGTGAGCCATGGGTGATCATGAATGTTAATATGTGTATGCACATACGTGTGCACATGTGTGTACCACACACATGTTCCCTGGGTATGGGGGTTTGATATGTGTGTCTGAGTTCCAGAAAACTCAAAATTTGATAGTTTGAAAGAATGATCATCTCTTTTCAAAGACCAGGGGTCAAGGAAGGAAGTTTTAAAGAGTTTTAGGGACATAAATCTCTTTCCTAGTGATTGTCTTTGCACTCGAGCTTCTGGGGCATTGTGGAAAGTTAAAAATAGAAAAACCTGAAATATAGACACATACTCATGCTAACACATGTGCTTACACATAAGCACACAGAACTGAATACACTTAACCCCAGGCTGGCCCATAAATACGTGTTTAAATATATATATAAACCCACAGACAACAATATACCCATATCTCATATAATACAGATAATAATTGCCAATATTTATTGTTTCCTATGAACCAGGCGTTATGCTAAGTACTTTACATACACAGCTTTACTTGATTCCTTTGCAAAAGTCAATCAAGATGGGTGTTACAATTTTCACCCTCATTTTACAAACAAGGAAACTAAGGCTCAGAGAAGTGAAGTGACTCACCCAAGTTCACAGAGCTAGGAAGGGGCTGAGTTGGGATCTGAACCCCAGTGGGGTGCATAATCCTTAGACTATTTGCTAACACACAACTGCATCCAACACATATTTGTGAATTCACACACAGATCACGTGTACTGACACGTTGTACACCTATAGGCACATGCATGCACATGGACACCCACATAAGGCATACTTGTGCACAGAGACATATATACACACATGAACACACACAGACTCACAGCCACACATTTTAATGTAGGCCACATGCAGTCGCACACAATGAGTTTACTGACATGGGTGTGAACATAAGTCTGAGACTTACATCTGGGTCCTGGCACAACTTTCCCTCCCTGCCGGCCCTGCCCCTCTTGGCAGGTAAGAGCTTGGGGGTTGGGCAGTGCTGCATGGAGCCCTGCCAGCTGGTGGTTCAGATCCCCTGGGGACGGGCTCCTGCCTCCCACTCTCATCACCAGGTAAGCAGAGCCACCCCTGGGGCCAGCAACACAAAGCACCACACCTGGGCCCCTCCCAGGAGATGCTGAGCTCAGGAAGCCTCCAGGTGGCCACCACAATGGTGCTCACCAGCCCCAACCCACACCTCCTGCTGCTCGCAGCTTCCTCCCAGGCACAGGTGTGGGTTATGGAGGCAATGACCTCCACCTCTCCCGCCTCACCTTCCATTTGTCCCCCAAAGACACCCCATACCCCAGTGCACATGGGGCCTTGGGGAGCACAGAGTGATACCTACACAGGCTGAAGGTCAAGGAAGGCTTCCTGAAGGAAGAAGGGTTTAAGCTGAGCTCTTAACCTGAAAGTGGAACAGGGATTAGCTGGTGAGTCAGAGCTGGGTAGAGCTTCAGCCAGAGGGCAGCTTATGAAAATCCCAGAAGCGAGAGAAAATAACACCTTTGGGAACTTGCAATTGATTCATCACTACTGAAGGCGAACGAAAAGGATTGTAGAGTGATCAAAAGCCTTGGTTAGGGGGTGCTTTGTGCCTTGCAATACTGGGGCTTTCTGAGGATGCTCATAACCAGAAAGACCTTGGGAAGCTGCCAGAGTGGCCACCAATTCAGGCCTCCCTTCCATGGCCACCAGACCACAGAGCATGGCCACTGATGCTCTCAGACCCAGAGCACTGGCTCACTGTCCTGGGGCCACCTGGAAGCCCAGAGCTTGCACAGCCAACTCACTGGCCATGTCCAACCCCACGAGGCAGGCTAGTGACACTGCTGGGTGGATATTACTCTTCCCAATTTACAAGTGAGGAAACTGAGTCTTGTAGAGACAACTTCTTAAAGCAAGAGAATGATCTGTCCCAAGCTGGCCATGAGGAGAAAGATCCTTCTGGGAGTGGTTGGGAAAGCAACCTGGGAGAACCGTGCCAGGATTAGGGAGGGGCAGGAGTGACTGCAGGGCTCAGAGGCCTGGGAAAAGAGACTCAAAGACTGGGGCCAATTCCCTTGGAGGGGAGCAGGTCTCTGGTCTTTGGAGTGACCTCTAAGATACTCCTTTGCTCTGTTTCGTGCCACTCTCAGCTTCAGCCCCACCCCTGAGAGTCCAGAGAGCACCTCACATCCATGTGGATAGCCCCAAATAAACCTAAGAATCCTAGAAAATGCCATTAATTTGTATGGCTCCCAAGTAATTTCCCTGTGATGTGGGTTTATGGCTGCAACGATGGTAACTCCACCCCTGATGAGACACACCCTGCAGCCCTCTCTCTGTCCACCCCCCAGCTCAGGCCTTCTCCTGAGCCCTAGGTTCTTGGCCCTCAGAGGGTCAATGACCTCTGGCCATGAGAGAGTGTGTGCAGGATTAGGAGTAACACAAACCAGAGTTTTCATCCTGCTCCTTCCCCAAAACGAGCTTTGTGACTGGACAATTTCCTTCCCCTTTCTAGGCCTCAGTTTCATCACTGTAAGAATGAAACTACCTTGAGGTATTTCACTACAAGACTGTAGTGAAGATTTAATGAGAAAATATATGGAAATGGTCAAGCACCATGCCTGGCTCTTTGTAAAGTCTCTAAAATTGGATGGTGATTTTTAGAGGGGCTCCATATTTTCTGTAGGAAAGAACCCAAATTATGTAGCTCAGATTTCAAAACTCTTCTAAGTCAGACCTCAGCCCACTCTTCAGCCTTATCTTTCCCACTGGAAGCAGTAGGACTCAGCAGTGGGCCTCAGGGAGCAGGAAGTGATCAATGTTGGTTGGCCAGCACCCACTGGGGGATGGTGGCTGAGACTGCCAAAGGAGTCTCATAACCTCTGCTAGTCTGAAAGGGCTCTGGGATGGGAAATCTGAGCCTACGGGTGGAGATCTCTGCATCTCCATCTTACGTGGCCTGCATGATACATCCTCCCCTTTATCAGCTAGGGCTGTCACCATCTTCCCCTGACCAAAGCCTTGGCCGTGACTGGAAGACAAGTGTGTGGCTGGAGGTGATAGGACACTCCATTTCTCAGGCATCCTGCTCCCATTGCTAAAAGACTCACAAATCACACCCTCACTGGCCCGGGCACAAGATCACCTGTGTTTGATGATGACCCTAGAGAGATCCAGAATGGACTCCTTACCCTAGTGAGGACAGAAAGTGGGAGGTCTTTGGGATTTATGGAAGCAGAATGGAAGAGGGACTAGATCACTAGCCAGATAATTGTAGGTTCAAATCGCAGCTCCATTATTTGCTGTGTGCATGTGGACAAAATGCTGTCACTGATCTACAGCATTTTCATCTGTAAAATGGGAGAAATGATATCTACATTGCAGGCCTCTCGGGCATATTAAATGAGATGACATATGCACAGCATTGGAATGATGCCTGGCACATAGCCGACTTGATAAGTGTCCTCTTTTCCCAGCTGTTAGCACTAGTACCCAGGACAGCTCCCCATCTTTGCCTGTTTGGCTGCTGTCCACGGTGCTGATGAAAGATTACAATCTCTCCCCTTCTCTCCTCTTCGCTCCACATCCATTGACCTCTGTGACAGTCTCAGAGGTCTTGGGGATCAAGAGGAGCACACCATGCTTCCATGATTTTCTCTCAAGCTGTATAATCAGGCTTAAAATACAGTTGTAGAATAAAAGCTGTTGTTCCCATGGTGGGCAGATGTGTGTCTCTTTTTCCTCCTGTATATACTATTGAATGCCCTTTCTGTTGGGTCCAGGAGTCTCAGGTTAATAAGCAGAGTTATAATAAAAATAAATAACAGACACAATAATATTTCCTGACCACTGATTGTTAATCAAGCTTTCCCATCACTTCAGTCTCATAAACCACTGTCAAGAAATCTAAATATTAGAACAGTACTCTAATAATTCTTGCCTCCTCTTCTTCCTTTCCAGTCCTGATAATCTGCACAAAAAGGCACCAGAGTTCCTGAATCTCTCAGTTCCCACTCATCACTCCAGTCAGGGATGTGATCAAAGCTGTGATGATCCTCAACAGATCTTCCAGCAGAAAAAGTCAGGTACATACCTATGGAAAAGAGCATGAGATCTGGAGTCAGCAAGACCTGGGTTTGAGTCCCAGCTCTGTTACTCACCAGCTCTATGACTGCCAACTTCTCTGGGCCTCAGTTTTCTCATCTATAAAGTGAAGTTAGTAATCGCACCTCCTCCATAAGGTTATTGGGAGGACCAAAGGAGATGTTGCTCCTAAACTGCTTAGTAAGATCTCAATAAGTGCTCCATAAATTGGTAGCTATTATTACTTCAGGCACCTGAATCTGAGTCTCTCAAAGGGGAGACATCAATTACCATGTGTCCTTTCCAGTGAAGTCAGCTGAAGACTCTTTAATATTGAGAGCGCTTCTGGAAGCCTGGCTTCCTCCTGCTCTCATGGGCTGTTGTACCTTCCAGGGCACCAGTTTCCTCCTCTCTCTTTCCCCATTCAGCATAACACCCATCCCCACCCCACCACCCACTCCCTCTCCTTGTCAATTCTTGTTTGGTTCAAGTCCACCTCTTCTGAATCTCATACAGAGTTTGGTTAATATCTATTTGAGACAGACAGGCAAACATGGGTTTGAATCCTGGCTCAGCACATGCTAGCTATGGCAATTTAGGCAAGTCATTTAGCTCTACCTCTAGCCTCAGTTTCCTCATTTGTAAAATGGTGATGATAACAGCCCCTTCCTCATGAGATTGTTGAAAGGAGCAAAGGAGGAAACGCATTAAAAGTCTCAGCACAGATGCATAGAGAAGTGCTCAACACCTATTAGTCACTATTGCTGTTCTTCCTGGTTTCCTGATTTTTGTTTCTGCCATTCTTTTCTAGGGATACTCCACCTCCTCTCTGACACTTTGGAGAGTAAAGAGTCATATGTCAAGCTGCTGTACTCTCTTTGGAAGCAGAGCGAACACCTGTATTTGCAGCCCATCTTGTGTGTGCTCATCTCTTGGGGGAAGATGTCCTTGGGGCACCCCCTTAGTCCTCTGGGACCCCTCATCTCTTACCTAGGGCTGGGATCCTAAGTGGAACATTCAGCCTTTGTGGTTGTCTTTGTAATGTTGTGTGTGTGTATAAGATTGTGTGTATGTATATCTGTAAGTGTAGGAACAGGTGTGTCATGTGACTGCGTGTGACTTTTACGGAAGTACACATGTAATTGGGTACGTAAAAACATGTGAAAATGAGAGATGGTTGTGTGTGTAAGGTTGTGCATATGTGTGTGGTAGGGGTGCAGCTGTTGGACATGATGCCAGCTCTTCAGCCATCTGCAGGCTTGAGGGGTCCTGGGCAATTCACGAGGTTCCTGGTTGCCGGCACCTGCCACTCTGAGAGGCAGCCGCAGCCTGTCGTTTTGGGAATAGCCATGCTTCAATGACTCACAATCCTGCTTCCTCAGAATTTTCCAAAATCTGACCTAGGCAAGGGATTATGAAAAGATTTTCCAAGTACGCCACTGGTACTGGGAGGATGGTTAGCTTTTTTAAGAAAAAGTTTCCCAGTACTTTTAAAACCACTTGGTTTGAAGTCCCTTGCTTACAATGAGTGCTTAATTGCCTGCAATTCCTATCTGTTCATTAAGGCAACTCTCTTAAGGGACCATGTCTTGACAATACAGGGTTAGCCATTAATTCGCATTAATTGGAAAGTAATAAAATTTTTGCAATGTCTCATAATTCAGACTTATCACTAATTCACAAACACCCTTCCTCCAATTATTCCAAATCAGGAAAGTTCTATTATTTAACAGGAATATATATGATACTCGAGGGAAATAATTTGTATGTCACCATTTAGAATTCATTAACAATAACGTAACATCATATAATCCCTTTATCTGGACAATGCTGAATTTTTTTTTAAAGCACTTAGACACTCACTGTTTTCTCTGATTCTCATAACAGGTCCAGGGTTATGAGGCCCATTTGTCAGGGGAAATGGAGTCTCATGGTGGTGAACTGAGCTGTAAACCAGGCACACAAAGCCAGCTAGTGAAGGTGGTCAGAATTGAATCCAGGGGGTCTCAGTTCCTCAAAACACAGAGAGTTGCCCCCAGAAAAATCTAGAAGGAACTCTCACCCTTGGCCATGGGAGCAGGGAAGAAGTTGTAGTTCTCAGCAGTTTGTCATTTCATCTTCCCGAGGGCGTTGTTTCAGGAGATAGCGAGAAGCAGAGATTTTAGCAACAGGAGGAAATTCCCCAAATCCTGTTTCTTCCCTGTCTCCTTCCATTTCTTCTGCCTGTCCTCAGTCATGTCCTAAATACCTACTGTGTGCCGGGGCCAAAGACAGACTCCCAAGTGTGTCTGTCAGCTGAACTCAAGGACCACGCAGTCTAATGAGGGGAAGTGGAGATGTAAAAACAATGATTCCAACCTGGCATGACCTGTGGGGGCAGCGTGGGCCGTGCAAGAGTCTGTGGGAGCGCAGAAAACGGTGGCCCATGCACCCTGCGGGGTGGGGAGTCAGGGAGTGGGACTAATACAGAGTTGAGTCAGCCAGGCGAGGTGTCACGGGCTGAACTGTTTCCCCCAGGAATTCACGTTGAAGTCCTCACCCACAGTACCTCAGAATGTGAGTGTATTTGGACATAGGGTCTTTGAAGAGGTCATTCAGGTAAAATAAGGTTATTCGGGTGGGTTCTAATCCAATAGGACAGGTGTCCTTATAAGAAGAGGAAATTAGGACACAGATATGCACAGAGGGAAGATGACGTGAAGACACAGGGAGAACACAGCATCTACAAACCCAGGAGAGAGGCCTGGAACACATCCTCCCCTTAACCCTGCCAACGCCTTGATCTTGGACTTCCAGCCGCCAGAACTCTGAGAAGATAAATCTCTGTTGACTAAGCCATGCAGTCTGTGGTCCTCTGTTATGACAGCCCAAGCCACACGAGGGTGGATCTGGCACGAGTGGCGGTTTGCAAGTGCTCAGCTGGCTGTGGGGCGCCCCTGGTTGGGGGAGGAGGATGAGACCAGAGAAGGACACCAAGATCAGAAGATGAGGGGCTGTGCAGGCCAGGCTCAAGATTTTAGACTTTTCCTAAGGCCATGCAGTACCACGAAAAATTTTAAGCGAGAGAGAAACCAGTCTCTAACTACCGGGACTCAAAAGGAAAAAAGACCATGACAGAACAAACAAATCCTAGGAGTGGTTCCCTGAGGCCTCTGGCTCAAGGAAACAGCTCCCAAGAAGACCACACAGCAGAGCGGGAAGAACTCAGGGTTTGAAGTCAAACAGATGTGGGTTTGAATTTTAGCTCCACCATTTTATTCACACATTCATTGATTCACTCCCTAACAAATATTTACTGAGCATCTACTATGTGGTCTGGGCACTGGGAATATCTCAGTGACTAAAGTATGAAGCCCTTGCTCTCCCAGCAATAAATTTATCAGTAAGTTGCAATATATCAGGTGGTGATAAGAGCTGTGGAGAGAAATAGAGCAGAGCAAAGGACACGGAGGGAAAGGAACACTGTTTTAGATCAGGTGGTCAGGGAAGGGACATTGAAGCAGACACCTGGAGGAAGGGAGGGATAAAATCATGCAAAGATCTGGGTCAGGGGCACCCCAGGCGTTTGGAACAGCGGGGGCAAACTCTTGGCAGCTGTGGTGGACAGGCTCATAGCTGCTTTCCAATTCCACCCAGAGGGCAGAGCCAACGAGGCAGAAGCCACAGTTCCCGGACTTCGGTGCCTTGACCTGCGTGACCTCAGCAGTGGTGGGGACCTGACCAGGTGGGCTGAGGAGTGAAGGAGAGGAAGGAGTGGACACAGCAGCTCCTGACAGCTCTTGCAAGAACTTTGCTCCACAGGAGGTCATATAAATGGGGTGGTGCCTGGAGCGGGATGTAGGATCATCGGAAGGTTTGCTTCCAGGGGCCGTTATGACATGTTTGTATGATGATGGGATGGATCGAATGGAGGGGTGGAGGGCCCGACACGGGTCGATTCAGCCTGGTGGTCCGCTGGAGCCAGCACGGAAGAGAAGACGGTTGAATTTTCAGGAAATTTTTGTGAGCTGGTTTTTAGACCATTGGCAGTTTGAAATAGGCTATAGTAGAAATATTTACACCATGGAAATTGGCAAGTGCTACAGATCAGGGCATTTTTATCTGGAGAGCAGGTTGTTAAACATTTTCCAACACATCCAATCAAAAGAGGTGGCTTTCTTCCTATTGCCTCAGGTTCCCAGGGAAACGAGAAGGCAAGGTGGTGAGCTGAGTATGAGGAGGGGAAAATGGAGTTAGAGATTTGAGGGGAAAGATAAAGATACACGAGTCATCTTGGAGTCGTGAAATAGTCATCTCGACCAGGAAACTTTCTGCATTACGCGGCAGAGTTGAAAGCAGTTTCTTGGCCGCGTTCCCCTGGCCAATTCTCTTGGATACTTTGAGCCTCAGTTTGCACATCTGTAAACCCGGAGTTCTGATTCCAAGATTATTGGGAGCATGAAGTGAGGTAAGGCACATAAAGCATGTGGCCAGAGACGAGGGCAATGTGCTGAGTGCACTGTGTTCTGGGTCTTGGGTTTGCAGAGGAAGGAAAAGCTGAGGATAGCTCTTACCTCTGGCCACTCGGGGAGGGCGGCCGACCACCCCCCTCGCCAGCCGACCTCCTCCGCGGATTGGGATGGATGGAGTCCAGCTGCAGGCTCAGAACATTTTACCCCATCTTCCCCTGAACTGCATATTTATCACAACACAGCAACTGCATAATTTAAAATCGGTGTTAAGAAATATTCCGATGTGTTATGTGATTTTGCATTCCTGGGTGAAGAAAAATTGCTGCAAGAAGGTGGCTAATTATTCCAAAAGACAAATTCCATGAAATAACATAAAAATAGACTCCCTGTCCAGAGGGAAAGTGAGAAAAAAAAGGGGAGAAGTGAGGAATGGATCCCTCTGAGCAGAATGTGGATGATCCCTCAAGTAGTGAGTGAGCACATGGGATGGAGCCAGAGTCTGGGCACCTGTCACGTGGCCAGGAGAGGAGAGGATAAGGGGCAGAGAAAGTGCCAGCAGGGAGGCCAATGAGGAGGCTGTGATTATTTGGGACCATGGCAATGCCCCAGACAAGAGAGGGGTGTGGTGATGGAGAGAAGTGGTCAGCTCTGAGAGAAAGTGTTGACGTGCGTTGAGTTGACAGGCATTGTTTTAACGCAGGGCGTGGAGGTGAGGGAAGAGGCAAGATGGACTTTTTATTTAAGGGGAAGCTGGACGGTGGTGCCTTTTGCTGGAGTTCTTGATGAAGTTCAGTAAAGAATCACTCTCTTCCCCATCTGAGTCCTGATCAATTTAAGAAACAAGACCAAGGCTGATGAAGGCCAATGTCACCTTAGTTCCTGATGGAGGCCAGGTGAGGGAGGTGAAAGCCGAGCAGGCCTGTAAGCTGAACCCCAGGATAAGGCCCATGTGTCCCCTGCAAAGTGCTGAACTGGGGAGCCTGCCAGGAAGTTCTGATGGCGGAGAGGAGCAGAAGCGGATTCCCGCTGCCCAGGGGCAGCCTGCTCCCAGGGATAAAGGGGCACATGGAGACCGGTTTATTCCCAGATTTATCAATCAGAAGTCCCTCCGCCTCATCTGTGGCAGAAGAGTGAAGGGAGGGAGAGTTACACTCAGTAAACCTCCACCACGTGGAAGGCAGCATCGGGCATTACCCCAAAACAGCTTGCAAAGAAATGGGGCAGCAAGAGGACAAGCAGGCTTGGGGGAGGGTGACGGATTCAGTGCCGGCTGGGGGAGACCCAGGTGCGGTGGGACTGACGGGCAGAGAAGTCCAATTTGCCATCAGATCATTCACTCCGGAACTCATGAGAGACCCAGAGACATTTGTGCCCAGGATTGTGCGTTTCCCTGTCATGTGCCTCTCACGTGATTTCTTGAACAGAAGAGGCAGAAAGGACCTTAGGACAAGTGCCAGGAACTTTGCACAAGTCCTCCTTGCTCAGAGCGAACTCTCCTGTGAAGCCTCCTTCCTCTGGGTTCCACAGCCCCGTCTCCTCCCTCCCTCGCTGCATTGAGATCTGCTGTGTGTCGCTCACCCACCAGTTCCCTGCTTCTGATTTTTCTCTGCCCCCTTCTTCCAGTACAGAGGAGTCTCTGAGGGTTTATTGAATGAAGGCAGTGAGTTGATCATCAGTGGAGAAGGGGAGGTGAGCCCTCCTCTCTATGGCAGCATGAATTTTCCTTCTAGAATCAGATGGGTCTCTCACTGACTACAGACCCGCTTGCCCTCCCTGCAGGCAGGGGTGTGGATTCCTGCCTCAGTTTCTTCTCCAGCTCACGGTGTGGCCTCGGCCAGGTGACTTAGACCAGCATTTCTTTATGTTGTGACCGTTGTGTGGCTTGTGGCAAGTCATGTGTACTGAAGTAACGAGACAGGAGAAATGGCTCCTACGAAAGATGGCAGCGGCTGTGAGCGGCTGGCCTGGGAGGGAGCAGAATGTCTTCTTGGGGAACACTGCTTCTCTATTAAGGAAAACACCCTTGTGGGCCAGTGTGGTCAGGCAAGGCCTCTGGGGGGAGGCCCAGGGGGCGGAGGTCAGACAGTGAAGAATCAAATGGCTCTGCCCATAAAGAGGGAGTTCGGAGTTGCCCGTGGGCACTGAGAAGGAGGGTTCTGGAAGAACAGAAGAATCCAGAGGGGGCCCCGCTGCGACGAGGAGGCTGCACGGGGTGCAGTCGTGAGCAGTTCTCCCCGCTGGGAGGGTC